TCAGCAGATCTTGCACGGAAAGAACTCAAGAAAAACTTCAAGCCTCAAATTGTAATTCTATTGACTCTTTCAATATCGAATAATTCAAAATATTAAATGACGCAGGAAGCCTCAGAAGAGGATGGAAAGAATACACAAAGGCACTGTATCAAAAAGAACTAGTCCACCTTCCAGAATTTCAGGAATTAGCATGTGAGCAAGAATCAATGGTGCTGAAGGAAGAAGTTCAAGCAGCACTGAAAGCATGGGCCAGAAACAAGGCTCCGGGAATAGATGGAATATCCACTGAAATGTTTCCATAAGCTGATGAAGCTCTGGAAGCACTCACTGGTCTATGCCGGGAAATTTGGGAGACCGCTACTCGGCCAATGACTGGAAGAGACCATTCCAAAGAAAGGTGACTCAACAGAATGCTCAAATTATGGAACAGTATCATTAATATCACATGCAATAAAGATCATCCAAAACAGTACATTGACATGCAGTAATACATTGAGAGGGAGCTGCCAGAGGTTCCAGCCGGATCCAGAAGAGGGCTGGGAACAAAGCTTATAATCGCTGATGTCAGGTGGATCTTAGCTGAAAGCAGAGAATACCAGGAAGAGGTTTACTTGTTTTCTTGACTATGTACCAAGGGATCTGACCATCTGGATCCGAACAAATTATGGCTAGCCTTGAGAAGAATGGCAATTCCAGACCACTTCATCGTGTCCTCCAGAACTTGTCCATAGATCAGGAGGCAGTTGTGGGAGCACAACGGGGGAACACCAACCACACGGTTTGAAACCAGGGATGGAGCGTGTCAGGGTTGCATCCTCTCACCATACTTCTGCAATCTGTGTGCGGAGCAAGTGATCCGAGAATCTGGCTCCTCTGAAGACGAATGTGGAACCCGAACTGAAGGAAGGCTTATTAACCACTTGCAATGATATGCAGGTGACACAACCTGGCATGCTGAAAGTGAGGAGAACTCGAAGCGCTTGCTGATGAAGATCAAGGATTGCAGCTGTAGGTCTTGCACCTCAATTAAAGAGGACCAAACTCCTCACCACTGGATGGGCAACACCATGATAAATGGAGAGAAGACTGAAGCTGTCCAGGTTTCATCTCACTTGGATACATAATCCATGCATATGTGGCAAGGTAGGAGGAATAGAACCTTGACTGTGATCCAAGGATACAG